ATCCCTTCCTACTCCCACACTGTGGACCTTCCGCATATCCCTTAAAACCTGGCTGTCCCGACAGGCCTGGGGCTAAAGACCTTAACCCCACCCGAATTGTATGAATGTTGTGCTTTTAACAATGTATTGTCTTATGTGTTTAAATTGGTTTGTCCTCCCTCCCTTTGAACTGTGAGCTGCCCTGAGTCCCCCCAGGGAAAAGGGCGGCATACAAATAAAATACCTATACCTATACAACCGTTGCAGTATCCCCATGGACAAATGATCAAAATTCAATGATTGGCAACTGATTTGACAAAATCAGTGGGGAACCCAGATTCACTGAACTGCGTGACTAACTTTACAATGACAATGAATCACTTACTTGTGGGAAGACAACAAATGTCTCACTTATCAACATAACCTTTGGGCTCCATAGTGATGATAAGTCAAGGACTACCTGTAGCAGATAGCATGGCATCAAGCCACTTGGTTCAGGATATCTTGATTTTCTCATGTAAAAAGCTACCTGGCCAACACAATCCTTGTATTTCACTCCCCTCTCCTCTTTCTAACAAGAAGATGCTTCTTGATGGCAAGATACTCACTAGCCAAGTTAGCGCCTCATCTGGCATCGCCCAGCCATTCTAGAGGCTGTGTAAAGCATGATCTTCTTGCAATCCTCAATGATAGTTGAACGGCTTTGGTAATTGCCATGAAGTCAATAGTAGAGTTGCTGCTTGTTTGGCATGTTTTCATAGGATGGGAATATGGAAAATAACTGCCCCATCAATACTACTGCAAATATGGGCATCTTATATCCTTGGCACCACTAAAAGTAAAGCTAAATTAGTTATTGCTGCAAATGTAAGTGGTCTATAATGAATTCTAATCGGGTGTAGTTTCACCCAGTCTTGAAATCTTATCCCTCCATTGTTTTCCCAATGGTATAATAAACAAAAGGAATCGGATAAACACAAGGATTGCGTTTATCTTGCCCCACTCTTAAGTGATCTGCTACAGCGACCCTGTAGCCACATTTTTCATAGCTGCCCACTTGCATCCCATGGGCATTACCCTCCCACTTCTGCCACACAGGTCTTGAGTGCATTACTGCAATCTAATTCTGATTGCATAAAAGTTTGACCACAAATTTCTACATTTAGGATTAGTCCAATAAGTGTATTTTGTGATCATGGAATATGACTTTTTTTTTCTTTTTATGAAGGAAAAATTATTGTAGAGAACTTAAGCTTTAGTTCTAAATATGGAGCCTACTGGCTGTTGAGTGATACCTTGACTTGGTACCTGTAAAAAGACAAGGGTAGGACTAAGGAACTACATTTTACTTTCAAAGTAAAAAAAAAGTTCAGTCTGCAGTGTTAATGGCAAGACCAGCTTCTGGTTGATAAGAACTTTTAGTGAAGTTGGAGACAGTAGAAAACAGCTTCCTTTTATTTCCTTTTCAGGACTATATGTAAGTAGTCTACATAATTTAGTATTTCATTCTTTCCATACCCATATAAAAATTTAACCGTTCATTGGGCCTAGAACACTTTTGTCAACAAACAGGACAACTTCCCTATTGCTGAACAGGAAAAAAAGTGTGTGCATGCACACACATGCGGCTTGACAAAGCTTGAGTTGAATTGAAAACTCTCATGGACTTGAATTCAGTTTCCAGATTAACAAAATCTACCCAGCATCATTTCTCTGTCATTTCTAAGATTCAGAAGTACAGCTAAACCTTAAATTTTCAATAATGGCATTGCCACTTCATTCGCAGCCCTTTGTTTCTTCTACTCTGCTTGTTTCTTAGCTGGGTATTTCAGGTGAGATTGAGCAAAATACAACAATTATTTGTGTGTGTGGTGTTGGGACTTGGTGTAGAGTTCTCTTGTCACTCTTCAGGAAGTGTAGTTCTAACCAGACTAGACACGATGAGCTTGCCCTGTCTTAAGAGCAGCACTAGAGAAAGAATTTACAAGTTCTTCCCCACCCCCCCGCTCCAAAAAAAAAAAAAACCCTAGGAGTTGCATACACAATTTTTTCTTGAAATATTTAAATTTTCCATGTGTACATTCAGGGCTAGCCTATGGTTGGGCATTGGGCTATCATTAATATACAGTATGCATTTAGTTATTTAATTTGGTTCATTGTTTTATTTTTACTACGTGTATGGGAGAAAGTTCTGATGGGGGCTGATTTTGTCTGCTATACCCTTTGCTTTCTGTCCATACAATCTGCTGTTAGTCCTGATACATTGGGGAGGCACATGCTGTAAGCTCTAGGAGATAAACAGGTAAGGTGTCATGTGTTCAGGTAGCATTAAATGTCTACATTTTATTGATATTGAGGTTGGACCTCTCCATTTCTCTGGTACTGGCTCATGCTGTGTTCAGCCTTTTGGAAATTATTGTTCTGGAATATGGTCTCTTGGCTAGCTTTAGCTTTTAGCTAGGTTTTCCTGGATGTATGGTTAGCATTTCAGAGTTGCATTTTGGGCAGAAAATCTTGGATTTCAGGTCTTAGTCATAACTGTCCTCTCCCATGGAGTGTTTGTATGTCTGGAAATCCAGAACTTTGTCCTAGCAATGGATAAACAGCAAACTGAACTCAGTGGCTTTGTAAGTCTTCGTTGAGGTGGTGTCTTTCAGAAGTGTAGAATATGACATCCATCATTCCCAGTTAGCTATACAATTCTATTTTGATAAAGTAGGAAATTACCAGTATGCCTTGTAATTAATCTGTGAAATATTGATGGATATGAATATTACTCTGTGCCCTTCGCACCATCCTTACTCCTAGTAAATATTCTTCCCAATGGTGTTTACATCCATGGGCATGTCCCTTGTGAGTTGAATTTTGGATTACGGTAACTTCTGAACCCAGTCAGTTGGGTCTTTGTTAATAAATAATGGCTAAACTAAATTCATGTCTAGTTTTTGTGTTTTTCCTTCATCAGTATCTCTCTCAGTAGCATTCATGCCAGCAAGAAGAGGCAATAAAGGATGAGCATTGGCTCTAAGACAGCCTTGCGAGAGAATGGTCTTAAAAAATAACAATAAACTGAGAGAGACAGTCTCTTCTTTCTCTTCAGCAGCTGCACAGGCATAACAGAAATGAACGGAGGGTCTCAAGTTACCTCCCCTCACTCCATTTGCATTCCCCAGGAATCAACTGCTTGAACTTGGCCAGCAAGATACACAGGCCTGCGTGGTTCTTTCTTGTTTCACTCTTTGTATTACTGTTCTGTTCTGCTCTTTCTTTCTGTCTGTAACAATTAATGTAGGTAGCCAGGTTCTAAATGTATGATTGCTTTTCTTTGGGGATCCACTGGCCATCTCATTAAAAGGCTGAGTTTGGTAGATCTTCCTTTCTTTTTCTTCTTTACAGAGAGCTTGTTATAAAACCTCCCGAGTACAGGTAGCATCTGGGTCCCTGCTCATAGCTTTATGTCTCTTTTGAAACCGAGAGTTGCCTCTGCCATCTTTGCTTGCATAACTAATCTTGGTCAGTGCAGGAGAAGCGTTCTCCCATGCCTTCCTCTCTTGTGTGTCTCTTCAAATCAGATTTCTTTTCCCCCTCTTACTAACTGAAATGCCTAATGAAGACCCAAGGGATCTTGCCTCGCAAGAAATAATTAGGGACTCAGACAGAAGCCCATTGCAAAGTTTGGGAAAGGAGGCTTTCTTGATCCCACCTTTTGTGACAAGACCATCGGGGAAGAACGCCAGATGTCCTCTTTCCCAACTCCACATGTTTGGAGTACAGGAAAAAATTCCCCCAGCCTTTGGCTTGCCTGCCCAAGCAGCTGGTGCAGGGGCAGAAGCTATGCTTAATACATTTTAATTACCATCATTAAACTCCTCAATTTGCTAATTGTTTTCCTTTTGATCTTCTATTCTGACCAAATTAATCCTCTGGGGAGCAAAACGGTTGATACGTTTGTGCTTAGATGCTTCTAATCAGGTGAAGACTTAATTGTCATTCCCTGAATGGGACTGCTTGGCAGGCTGACTTCATGGGCAAGTGCCAAGTTGGCGTGGTGGA